AAGAGAAGTTCTTTTTCGGACAGACGAAAAGGGAAAGTTGGAAGTAAATTATGGGACGGAGGGAGTACTCTTTAACAGGTTAACCTCAAGAATGGGACCCCAAAATTTAATAATACAAAACTAGATATCTTATTTTGGTTAACCCAGCTTTTATTAGGTTGGAATTGGTTGCAGTATTTGCAAGCCACCGCCACATCATAATAGAAATCTAAATCAAAGTTCTAAGTCCAATAGAAGTAGACATATCGAACTGCTTGGCGTCTTCACATGTAAGTTTGCAACGGTGTTTTCACGATAACCTATACCTTATCCACTCATAAGCTGTTCTCTTCGTTTGATCTGAATGTTTTTGGTCTGAATTTTTTTTGATCTGATCTGAATCTTTCTGATCTGATCCGATCTGAATCTTTCTGATCTGATCTGAATTTTTCTGATCTGATCTGAATGCTTCTGATCTGATCTGATCTGAATCCTTCTGATCTAATTTTAACTTTCTAAACCGGTATATAATAATATTAATACTAATAATAATAATTCTAATAATAATAATAAATAATAATAATATCAATAATAATTATAATAAATTAATAATAATAATAACTATTATTATTATTATAATTATAATTATTTAATAATAATAATAAAATAATAATAATAATAATAATAAGAATAATACTAATACTAATAATACTAATAAATAATAATAATAATAGTAATAATAGTAATAATAATAATTATTATAATAATAATAATAATAATAATAATAATAATAATAATAATAATAATAATATAATCGATAATAATAGAATGTTTCCAATTTGCTATGAATGTTTTTGATCTGATCTGAATGTTTCTGATCTGATCTGATCTGATCTGAATCATTCTGATCTGAATAAAATAAGAATAAGCAATAAGTAATAAGAATATGACGAACAGAACAACACCTCATTCTATTTTTTACTCCTGTCAACTTTGAGATCAAAAAAATCCAATATATGATTGTGTAGAGTCCACACTGTGGACCTAGGGCCTGAAACTACATTTTATGTATTTCTCTTTTCTATTAGCTAATTAAGTATGTATACTTTGTTTTCTCATTATATGCTTATATTATACTCGTATTATACTATTATGAATTTATCAAATCAACATAACCCCAACCAATATCTGTACGGTCGATGTTTCGGTTCAGTTGATTCATATATTTCTCGAACCGGTTCTTTAGGTTGGTTGTAAAATATTCTTCAAACTGCGCAACCAAACTGTGTGCACCTTTTAATGAAAGTATCACAGCATTTTTTTTAAAACACAGTTAATGTTTTGATTATTTTTCCTTTTGTTTCTTATGATCACATTAGGATTTCAGTTCTGAAGATAATGCATCACCATCAAGTCCTGACGAAATGTTTCTCAAAGATCTAAACCCATGTTTAACACCTTATTACATCAAGTCAAAGTCCAAGGTAAATTTGATACAAACTCTTGGCAATGTATGCTTTATTTGATGAATTAGTGTTTGATCAGTGTTCATCATCAAAGTGAATTTCCAACTATGTTGGAATGGATGACATAAAGTTAACAATGTTTACTTTTTAGTTAAAATTACTTAGCACAACTTTTTCGATGAATTTATTGTGTGAACTGTGAACTAATTCTAAACTATTGCTCCTGTCTTGCAATTGATTTCGCACTTCCCCAAATTTTATTTCTCACTTCTCTTTCTGGTAGAATATTTGAGTGGTAGAATACTCATTTACCCCTATGGAAGTACATATTAATTATTAATTTTCTCATATATACTTTTGAAGTAGTGTTTCCATCATTTTCAATGGAGCCAAAGATTCATTATTTTTTGGCTTGAGATTATGATGGAATAAAGCAAAATGGCTCACTAACCTATCTGCGCTTCTTTGTTATGAAGCAGCAGTCAGTCCATGCAATTTTGGACGGGATTTTCACTATGGGTCATCTGGAAACAGTCTCTCTGTGCTTTAGTACAGGGGTAAGACTGCGTACATCCGACCCCCCCTTACCCCACCATAGGTGGGAGCCTTTGCGGCACTGGGGTAAATGAAAATGAAATGAAAATACTTTTGAAGTAGTGCATACTTGGAAAGTCAATAGAAAAGTTATATCGAGTAAAAACCCATGAGTTCAACTCGGAACTGAATTGAAGACGGAGAGAGTAATTGGCACTCTCAATTTCATCTCACCAAATTAATTCAAATTAGTATGAGGATATGGACTTTTTTATGAGAGGACTTTGAGTTTAAAGTTTTTTACATTCATTTCTTTTGACAAAGTACAAACTGCAGTATCCTTTGTATTGGATATTCTCAAACAAATACTTTCAAGACAAACAGCCAGTTTCAAGTCCCATTTTGTGGCAAAGTTGGAAATTGTTTGGGACAACTTTCGAATCAGATAAAAGCACTCATGCTAAATTCCAGACAGTATATTTTTCTTTTATTGAAGTACAAATGACTATAATGATTTGAAAATTTTCATTTCATAACTTTTAGCAAGATAGAATGACTAGTCGATCTAAAAGAGCCAACATGGCGCATTTTAGAAAAATATTTATTTGAAGTGCTTTATAAAGCTCATTTTGAACCGGTACTTAATAGAGAATAATGGAATGAGCTTTGATCCAATAGTAACCTCTGCCAGGAATTTGAGACATTTGATGTCACACATGATCAAGACTTTCAGCATAGAAATAACACTGAAGGGTACCATGAGATGAGTTTCAGTCCTGGTGCAAGGAATGTGTCAATAAGCTCAGATTGTTGCCATTGTTCCAAGTCAGCAAGTGGAGTTGCTAGCAGATCTAGTGAAAGTAAACGTACACATATAAAGAAGTTGCACCATAATTTCTCCTAATTCTATTTTTGTGGGATCTTCCTGCCTTTCTATGTGTTCTACATGACTGGCCGATGTACCATTTTCTTCTTGAGGAGGATAGCTGATAATGAGAAATTGCTTATGGGGCTTCAATTGAGGGATTTTTCAGTTTTTGTGTTCAAATTTGACATTATGATGCTCATTTTTAAGCTAGTACTACTTCTGCAGTTCAGCTGGCAAGTCTGCCAATCCCTTTAGAGAAAGTGGCCATTTTAGGTGCTCATGCTTTCTGTCTGACCTCCTTCCATCTATTTATTCGTGGAAAGTCCTTTGTTGCTCAGGTGATCTCTATTTCTTCAGACTAATTCTGGGCTCCCAAACCCTTGAACCTTAGAGAGAAGTACCTGATGTGGAGGGAAGTAGTCTTTCATCTTTCATTTGGGTACCTATTTTGGCCGTTTTCAAGTTTCAACAACTGGCCTAGAACACGAAAATTCCATTTTGGGTGGCTAGAATATAGGCGGGTCTTTTGAAAAAAATGTTGAAGCCTTTTGAGAGTTTTGTTGCACCTAGCTAAAGTTTTGGAAGATATATTGGGATGTGAATAAAACACAGTCAACCTTCCTAATTACAATTACTAATATTACTATGACTAAACATAATTACTTAGACTAAAATACCTTTTTACATATTAAACTCCTTAAAACAAAAAATTATAGCTGTAAAAAAACAAAAAAAATATTATTTGCTTTCATGCATTAAGTATACACCATATTAATTGTGTTAAATGCCCATCAAAATGGCTCATTGCATGCATTAAGTTATCAATTGTGTTAAATGCCCTTCAAAATGGCTCATTGCATGCATTAAGTTATTAATTGTGTTAAATGCCCTTCAAAATGGCTTAGTGCACTTATTGTCAATATTCATTGCCACATATGCAAAATAGACATTGAGAAAAAATTATAAAAATACTTTCTCCAATGAGAATGTCTATTTTCTTGATGATGGTGAGTTGGAAATGTAAAAAATCGACATCGTGCGATACACCCTCTATTTTCGGAAGGCCGGTTAAACAATGTGACTCAGTAAATACTTCGTATAATTCTCTACTGAAACTTCTAGCAGTAATTGAAGATTTGAAGGTGGTAATCAATAACACACTCTGTAAAAATTATCATAGGATCATTCTTATGTCTCGTATAAATAATTAAAATAAACCATTTACACCCACTTGACCACTTCCACATTCATACTTCCACTTGACCACTTCCACATTCATACTTCCTATTAGGGATGGACCTGGGCCGGTCCGGTTCCGGGCCGGGCTCAGGCGGGCTTTTTTCCCAGGTACTTGGGCCCGGAACTGGCCCGGGTTGATACCGGGTCCGGGCCTAACCGGGCCGGGCCTGGTTCAATGTTTAATTTTTTTGGCTTTCTTGTTATCCCCCGACCCCACCCCCCAACCTCCACCCTCCAAATCTCCCCAAAACACCCAGCCCTACCCTAGGAAAAGAAAAAAAAATTGAAAACAAAAGAAGCCCGGGCCTGGCCCAAACCGCCCGGGCCGGTTCAACAAAAATGGGGCGCGAGCCCGGCCCGCCAAAACGGGCTAAAAGCCCGGAATCGGCCAACCGGGACCGGGCTGAACCGGGCCCGCACAGTAGCGGGCCGGTCCGGTTCTGGGCCGGTTCGGCCCGGCCCAGTCCATCCCTACTTCCTATAAAGTACAAACGTGGCAGCTACCATATATGCATTTATATGTTTATATCTGTGTGTGTGTGTATGCATTTTTTTCAATGAGCAGATCTGCAATTATTTTGCGGTACAAATAAAATCATATACGTAGTATTTGGTTTATGGAGAAAGCTAAAAGAGTTGCTTTCAAAAGTTCATGAATTTTAAAAGTTTAGGTGTATTCAATGTGGACTTTTAAAAGTCTACAAAAGTCTAGGTGTATTTGATGTAGACGTTTAAAAGTCTAGGCATATTCAAAGTTCCGTTCATTCTTATGGATTTCTAAAATCATGGATTCTCGTGGACTTTTAACTCATTTTTAGTACATTAATTCTCTTCAATTGTCTCTTCTTGATAGATCCTAATCTTTAACAATCAAACAATCATAGCAGTGAAGAAGAAGCAGATAGAAAGATATCGAGATAAGCAACGAATCTGGTATACCGTGTAGAACGCCGCTGTTCTCCCTCGAGAGAGAGAGAGAGCAGCGGAAACCTAATCTCTCTATCTCGCCTCTATTCACTCTCAAGCCTCAAACCTTAGGGTTTTCATAAGTTAGTCTCCTTTTATAGGAGAGGATGGGTAACTTATGGATTTCAAAGAAGCAAACAAGCTGATACACATTTGTGGCCCGTATTACACGTTTAATTAATAACTACACAAATACAAAGATATTTAACCAGATTGGACACCATTAAAATATTCTCAACAATCTCCCCCTTGGTGTTCAATCGTGTTGAATCAACATTGTACCGTGAATATCTTTGTCTTTCAGTGCAGCTCAACTTCCTTTGTCGTTGAGCTTGACTTCTTGAGAAGGCTTTCCGAAGACATCCTTGCAATATCCCATTTGATGTCTTCTTGGCAATTTGATCTTTGATGCCGGAGGCTGAGGAGTCTTCCTTTGGCTTGCTTGTAAACCTTGCCTTCAAGAAGTTGCTCTTGATCAGCTTCAATGAAGTCCAGTGGTGCCTCTAGAATGATAGTTCTAATGATTTCCAGGCTCACACGGGATTCATCTCCAGTACGCGAGTATCTGACCTTTGTCTCCACCATAATGTAGTCTTTTTGACTATTTGAAATTATTGTGTTTGAGGAAACCTTGTCGGTGGCACAACGGAAAATGATGGTTGACTTGTGAGCGTAGCTGACCATTTGGAGCTTTTGATAGAGATAGTAGAGAAAGTGTTGGAAGAGAGAAGTGTCCGAGAATGATTTTTGAGACTTAAAAACATGTGGAACATTCTCCCCCTCATGATGGTCTAATGAATCGGGGCGTCATGCCTTTATTCTTTTATTCTGCGGAAATAAAACAGGAAAAACAAGCAGAGTGTTGAAATGCAAAAACCGGATACACTGATGTGTACCGTTAACACAACATCAATGTAAACATCGATGTGTGACCTGTATATAATGATAGAAGCATTATTAAGCTCTAACAGGACTTCCAACCAGTCATTGTGAAACATGTGAAAAGATGTCACTCTGGTTGTTATGGCATGACCATAAAGGTCAGCAAAGATAATGTAGCCCCCCCGGGGTCGTGTAGACGCCCGTTATCATGACTATAGAGATACACTCTGAAACGATAACCTGAAAATGTTGGTGATTCTTATGTTGCAATAGGAGGACTTCCTTCCAATCATTGGTCTACATCTGCAATAGATGAGCCCTATGGAAGTTCTCACGGGTCATGTAGACCTGCAACTGACTCAAAAAGTGCGTTCGTGTCCTAGAAAATTTCAAAACATTTGGGAGTGAGTAACTAGACATGATGTGATCAATGAAAGTTCAGTGGCATGGGGCTGAGGCAAGTGTAGTCAGTATCACTTGTCTCGGAAGGAGACAGTAATGAGAGATGCGGTTCCCCGTGAAGTATGATTAAACACCCGTCTGTTGGGAGACAAGTGAGTGGTCTTGGGTAGGGTTCAATCATGCATTGTTGGACAAGATGCAATGACTTCTACCCGGGATCTGATTAAATCAATCGTGAACCTATTTGGGAATTGTCCAGAGTATTTGTGACTGATAGGAAAAGAATCACGAACTTGTTTTGCTTGTGGACAAACCGCACGAGCTTTATTTAATTTCTTACAAAAAACACTAGAACTAACCCCAGGTACTAACTTGACCACTCTATCTGACGGATTCCCCAGACGACGACGCCACAATTCGAAGTTCATCAATTCACGCTCTATAATGGCATGAACAGTCGGTACACCCCTGAAATAGAACAGCCCATCCCGTCTCTCACCGGATCCAATCAGGTTCCTCGGGTGTAGGTCCTGTATAGCACAAAGAGAATTAGTGAAACTTACAGTACAAGCCATCTGATCAATTAATTTTGCTACAGATATAAGATGACAATGCAAGACGGGCACATAAAGAACGTGCTCAAGAGAGAGTGTCGGGGATAAACACACACTCCCCTCCATCGTTGCTGTAACAATACGACCATCGGGCAACCCAAATGGACAACCATTTATGCGAATTAAATTCATAAGTCGTGACAAATCACCAGTTACATGATGTGTAGCGCCGGTATCAATAATGCAGTCATAATAAGGAGACATACCAGTCATGCGATTACACGAACATGTTTCGCTATTAATCATATTCAAAAGCACTTCAACCTGTTCTTTGGTCAACATGGGCAGTTGATTCACATTACTGGAAGTAAGCACGACAACCTCATCTGCGGGTGATGCTGCTACAGCATGTGCACGGACAGCCCCCTTTGAATTCCGGTCTGGCGTAGCACTGGTTCCAGACGGAGTTCCCCCTTTGTTGCGGTTTCGGTCTTCCCACCATTCTGGGTAACCGTGTAATTTAAAACATGTACTGATCTCGTGACTTTTCTGCTTGCAATGTGAACAAGATTGCTTGCTGCGTTCTGCCTTCTCCAAGCGTCCTATGGGACATTCACCTCAAAGAGCAAGGCCTGTATGTCTGTAGCTTGGCTCTTGTCACGAACAATGGCGCGAGAACGTTCCTCTTGGAGAAAACCCTGACATGCGCGATTAATATCGGGCAGAGGTACTTGAGAGATAGAGAAGATTTGAATGTGCCGTCCCGAAGACTTCATCGTCAATTCCAATTAAGAATTGATGCAATTGTTCCTCTTCCTTGTCAGCCGCAAACCTCTAAACAACTCCACAAGTACAAAGCCCACATGTGCACACATGTAACGGCTTAAGGCGATTCAACTCGTCATAGGGACTCATAAGAGTAGCAAAGTATGTTTCAACGGACATCCCCTTGGTCTGTTTGCAATCGGTAATAATAGACGTACGTAGCTGTTGTAGACGTGGTTCATTGGCAACCCAAAACCTAGTCTCAAGATATAGCCACATCGAATGACCTTCTTCATGGAAGGGTATAGATGCGGCTACGGTCGGTTCAATGCTCCGCAGGATCCAAGATACAATCATTGAGTTTACAGTGTCCAAATCCGGAAGCTTTGACGCATCAGTAGGCTTCTTGATGGTTCCATCAATGAATCCGTACTTCCTCCTTGCCATCAACGACAAAGCAAAAGCCCTAGACCACAAGCCGTATTAACTACTACGTAATAACCGTCAACTGTCCAACACCCTTTCTAGCCTCCTCACCTTCCCGGCCATCCCCATCCCCTACCTAGCCTAGCCATAGCCCCCTCCCCAACCCCATGCCCCCAGTCATAGCCCCATCCCCTTCCCCAGCCCTCTCTCCAGCTTTCCTACAGTGCAACAATCCCCTTTAGCTCCAAGCCTCCAACATGGCTCCCGGTCCCAGGTCCAACCGCGATGCAGCAACCTTACCGGTGGTCGTGGCCTACTTGCAGCAACCGCTCCATCGAAGAATGTGGTTGAGGGCGACAAATGTGCAACTCTGTATTTAGATCTTTGTTTCGATTGAGTTTTAGGGGGGGGAAAGCGGCAATGTCGATTTCAAAGAGACGATGATTTGGAGAAGCATTGCCGTCGACACGCTCCAAGCTCCTATTGCGCACCCTAATAGTGTAACGAGCTGCAGGGTCGTTGATGAGATGAAAAGCCAGATTCTGATTAGGATCGGTTAAAAGTTTTTAATCACTTTTTGTCTAGAATAAAAGTGGTTATATTTTATCCATTCAAACCTTATAGGTAATATTTTTGCTATTCTTGTTATAAAAAATACTCAATATTAGTATGCAGTCCTTTCTCTCTATTGAATTCTCAATAGGGTATGCCTAACTGCAATTGATTACACATAATATATAAAAAGTTTATCAATATATCTAGGATCATAAAGATATGATTACTATCGATTAGAGACCCCAAAGATAAAGTGTGTCAGTATAGGGTTAGAATGATAAAAACGTTAAACACAAGACCTAAAATTCCATGATTATTAATATTTTTAAATTTTAAAAAATTTAGATATTATTTAATCTTATTAAACCAATAAATTTTATGAAGAAAACATTATCAAATATTAACAATGGAATTAATCTTATAAAAAGACAATGGAATTATTTTCTGTTACTTTATTCGAATATTTTTCGATTCTCACGGGAAATTTTATTCTTGGTTTGAAACTTTTGAATTCAAAATAGTTAGGTATGAAATTTCGAAGCTCTTGTTCAAAAACATTCAAATCTAAATTTCATTATTGTGTATCTTTATTAGCTTGTAAGAAATGCCACATTTATGGCATTTTTTATGGAGATGGCAATATTGCATCTTTGGAAATGCCAAAACTTTGACGTTTTCACAAATTGTGGCATTTTTATGGCATTGATTTGAATTTGTCAGCATCATTGCTTCTTCTTTTTCTTCTCCTATTTCACATTTGACTCTGAAATGCGAAAATGTCATAATTTATAATATGAAAATTCCATGTTTTTGCATGTAAAAATGTCATTATTTTGTTATTATTGTATTGTTATCATAATTGCAATTTTGCCTGAAATTGATATCATACACCCCACAGGAGGTAGACGTAACTAAGAAGATGTCAACATCTTCAGAGAAAAATTTAGCTATGAATCCATTCTCGTTGTAGAAACGAAGGGGTAAGTGGCATCACCGAAGGTGTGCAGCAGAAATCTCAGAGGCGACAGTGGCGACGATCTCACTTGGCTGCGGTGACGGTCTCAACAGCGGCGACCATGCTGAAGGTGTCGAATGAGGCCGTTGGGGGGAGGTTTTTTTAACCTGTAATTCCATTAAAGGCATTTTTGTCTAATGAATTGTTTTTTAGTCCTATAAAATATGAGAGTCATGTTGGTGCATTTCAACATTGATTTAGTCCTATTAATAATCACAATTTTTGTGGTTCACATCAATGCGGTTCAAGTTCCAATTTTTCTAATTCGATCAAAACACATTCAACAATAGAAGAAATTCCACTTATGGTCCTTCGAGTTTTGCACCAATTCCACAATTGATCTTCGTCTTTCATTTCATCCATTTTTGGTACCTGACTATTGTTTTCTTGACCATATATAATCCTTTTCTGATAGTAAAAATGCTCAGAAATGGATACAAATGGTCAAGAAAACAATAGTCAAGTATCAAAAATGGATAAATTGAAAGATGAGGACTAAAAATGGAAATGACACAAAACTCGGAGGACCTAAAGTGGAATTAATTCTTCAACAATATAACATCAACTATTAGAATCACTCTTTTCTTAAATTATTACACAAATAATTCCAGAGAACAAAGAGTACTGCAATCGTTAATTAATATTTAAAGTAGACTAAAATTTCCCGTATTTTTCATTGCGAGCCACCATTGAGCGCCAGCCTCACCACTTGGAATATAACTGCATCAACGAAAATTCATTAGTCACATGTTATTACCGGAGTAAATAATTGGATCAATTTAAATGAAAACTTGATCCAAGAAGAAATTGAGTAAATTTTAACCCTTAAATTTGAGAAATGTACATCATGTGAAACATTACCTATTTTTACTAGTCAATTTTCCTACATTATACAATTTTTTTCAATTACTACTAATGTTTACTTTTCTAAAACCAATTTTTCTCAAAACACTACCACCTTTTACAATCAAACACATTCACTAAATTTATTTTAAAAACGTCTTTTAATATTCTCTAAAAGGCAAATTTCTGAAGTACTAGACTACTAGGTACTTCCTCCGTCACCAAAACTTAGCCAAGTTGACTTTTCTTAATCAATGCTAATAATTTTTGGATAATGATTTTAGTTATTATATTTGTGTGAAATTTATAACTTTTATAATTTTATAAAAGTGTTTGTAACGAACATTTCCATATAATTTTCATATTTTGAATAATACTTTGTAAAAATTCATTAGTCAAACATAATCATCATTGACCAAGACAAGGTAAAACGACCAAATTTTATGGAACGAAAAGAATATATTGAACTTTTATCTTTTAGTAAAGGATGTACCAAATTTGAGTGTGTAATGGAGTATGATTTGTTATTAGTAAATAAAAAATCTCTAAAAACATGGGACATATTAAACTATGCGGTAATGTGTTAATTATTCTAAAGATCGATATAACTGGTAAATTTGAAATGAAAAAAATAGGACTACTATATTTTTATTTCCAAAATATGATTAACATGACAATATTTACTGTCATTTTGTAGACGTGACTGCCAAATAATTGTAGTACAATGCATTTAACATGTCAATATTATTATAATTAATGATAGTATTTTTTATTTATGCTTGTATTTTTCATACATGATAGTAAAAACTCCTATTTCAGGAAGAAAAACATAGTAGTCATATTTTGAAATTTCAACCCTTATTTACTACTCCCTCCGTTCTTTATTATCTTTCCCGCTAACCTTGGGCACGAGTTTTAATAGAAAAATAGTAGGGTAAATGTAGAATGTGTAGGGTAAATGATAAAGTAGGAAAAAGAGTATATTAAAAAGAGTAAAGTGGTGATAAAGTGATGATAAAGTAGGAAAGAGTGTAATAAGTAGAGTAAAGTTATGATAAAGTAGGAAAGAGAAAGTAATTTGTAAAAAGTAAGAGAGGTAAAATTAATAAAAGTGAGGGTATTTTATCAAAAACTTTCCTAAAATAAAAAGAGAGACAAATAATAAAAAACGTCCCAAAAAAGAATGCAAAACAGTTAATAAAGAATGGGGAGGAAGTACTATTTAGGACAATTTCCCGAAAAAGAATGAAATGTTAGCTTACAAGATGCAATAACGAGGACGGCAAAGAGGATGATAACGACCCGAGTCGGCTCAAAGGGCTGTTTGGGTGAAAGAGGATTTAACCCTCTCTTCGTTATATTCTTCTCAAACTTTGCTATTTTTCTTTCCGCTACCCGTTTTGAGGTTGTCTGCGCATAAACACATTTTTTTATCATTTAGCCAAACAAATTCACCAAACATTTGTGCCTAATTATTATACACATATAAACATCTTTACTAATACTCATCAGGAAAATTTGGGGGCATTTTAAGGATGAATTCATGCTAATCGATTTATAGTTTCGGACCCGACCCATATTCTCGATGAATTTGAAATTTTTGTTCCAGATCCGGATCTAATGCATCCCGGAATCGAGATCCGTTCAATATGATTATACTCCATATGAAATTTCTCTAAAAATTGTGCATATACAACAAGAATTTCTCTAAAAATTGTGCATATAAAATATTACAGAATTTTCCTTCATCGTCTAGTTCATAATAGTAATGCTACTTTTGTTCTTTTAATGAGTTTTGGTTCGTGCACACACCAGATTACACACTAGCTTACCCTTGAGTTTAGTAAAGGGAAATGTATGTGATCATGAATTATCTGTGCCTAGACAATTTATTTTTTGGAGTCACAAATACGTCTCTTTACTAAATCTCAAGCGTAGTTGTTCGTGCACAGACAATTACACTAGAGTGTGTAAGCCGATGTGTACACGAAGCAAAACTCTCTATAACAAAAGAGACTTCAAATACTAGTATAATCAACCATCCACCACAAAAAAAACATAATTTTGATACAAGTATAATCAACCAATTCAAACAGATTCATTATTCAATAGATTTAATACATTTAAATAATCGTAGATTGAAGATTTGGAAACGATGTAAATCCAATAAGATTGATATATAGGATGATTCAAATACTTTACCCACAAACCAAATTTCTGTTCACCCCAATCAAACATATTAACCATGAATGAAGAAACAAAACCAATGAAAATTGAAAAAGACAGGGACATAGTTTACCATTTTATTTTAGCTTTGGAGTGTCCTTTGCACCAGAAGAAGAATGTATCTTTTGTGAAAACCGATAGAAAAAGCTTTCAGAATGGACTGAAACCTGTCATTTTACTCTCTTTATTATGCGTACTTAGATTTATATATATGTGTTATACTAATAGTAATAATTCACTTTTTTTTACAATGTATAGGAGTATTAATTTTTCATTTTCTCTTCAAACTTGTATTTTTAAGTTTTGTTGTTACTGTTTTTTCACTTCGGTGTAAATTACTGTAATATATACTCCGTATGTGACAGCTAAGGACGGGTAAGATTAATTAAAGAGTATTTATTGAGTGCGTTTCAGTTAGAAGTCACCATTCCTTTTTTAGAATAAAAGTTAAGGACTTACAACTTTTCTTTCCATTCTTTTATTTTTCTTCCATATAAGCGCCATTCCTACCATTAATTATTATAAATAAATCTATCCTGACTTAAAATAAGCATATACTCCATCTGTTCTTTTTTAGTTGTAATGGTCAACATTTCACATTTGTCAACGCACGTCTTTGACCGTAATTATATCTTAATTCTATTAATAAAAAAATATTAAAAATCAGATTTTGAAAATTTGAAATGAGATGAATTGAACAATATTTTTTTTAAAAAAATAATTTTCATAAAATAATAACGTAAAATGTAGTCAAAGTAGAGCATATGAATAATGTAAAATTCAAAATGTTGCGATTAAAACGGAACATAAGATAGTACGTAATTAATTAGTAAAGATCCCATGTCATATTTAAAGATTGAGATTTTTTCGTAAATATATATTACTAAATTGAAGTCAGTTTTCAAAAATGTGATTACTTTTAAATATGACAAAAATGTGATAAATAAAATCATATATTTGGAAAACATGACATCACTGCAAGTTCAAGAGCAACGGCCGGACAGAACCTCCTATAAAAGGACTTATTTGCACTTTTTATGAAAGTTCAAGGGCTTCTTGATATTCACTTATTGTACTTCATTTTTTAAATGATGTAAAATTGTAGAAAAAAACTACTTTTATATAGAAAAAAATCGTGGATAAAAATATATATGGATCAAGTGTTTTTTCCGTGCATATGCACGGGTACTGTGCTAGTAAAACCTTAAAGAGTCCGCTGAATATATTACGTGTAAAGAGAGCAACAAAGGTTACAAACATGGATCTTCATGTCTTATTTTACACAGCCACTAAACACCCGCTTTCACATGCACGAGGTAAAGCCACTACTACTAGTCTTCAAAGTCCAACAGCTAAATCCTACACAACTTGTAGTCCGGCCTTCATCTCCCATTGCACTTGGATTTATTTTCACCATATAAACGGAAGAGACTAAAAGCCGATAAACCTGAGAGAAGAACCAAACTTATGCTAGCGAACAGCGAACTTGCGATGCCTTCCGCAACTTGGTTGCAGAACTTTCCATACATGTTACATATCTTCATCCATTGCAGTTCATTCTGCCCAAACTTTGCTATCACAGCAGACTGTGTAGCAGCCGCTACAGCAGCCAAACTTAAGTATGCCATCAGCTGTTTAAAGATTTCAACATAACAATATTGAGATCAGTTTGGTAAGAAAAGTTATTAGCTGAATTGCTGGAGTGCTTATGCAAATAGTAAGCCACAATCTACTTGGGGGTGTTTTTCTATGCAATTTAATTAGCCAAGATGAGAAAACGATAAAATTTCAGACAAACTAGATGAGAAATAATCAGACTAGGCAAGATCAGAAATAATGAAGATTAGATGAGGCCAGAAAGTTCAGATAAAATCAAACAGTCAAACCAAATCACATTCTGCAAAGGAAAAGAAAACTCCTTATTCTGCTTATTCTATTAATTAACTTTTCTAATAAGTAATACACAATTTTGACTACCAAACAGCACCGAAGTTACTAGCAGTAAAGGGAAAAGATTGTGTAATCTAACTGAAGGTAAAATGTAGAAATGAAGATTGCTGAAAAAGAAAAACAGTAATTTTATATGTCCATTTAGAATTCCAGTCAAAAGACTCATGCAATATCCACACCAACATCAACATGGTTGAGGCTTTAAAAGGAGATTGGTTTCTACCAACACTTGTTGGAGCAAACAATGCATTTATGATTGAATGGTGCACACTCCAGCTAATACATCAGATTTGGGTCTATATTTATCAGAGGGGGGTTGCCTTTGGTTTAGGGCATACTCCCTGTCAGTCTATTTCCTTGCAATGGAATGGAGTATGATGATTAGCTGGCTAGCTAATAAAGACCTTGATTCGACAGCTAACTGTTTGATATGAGACACTTGTGAAGTAACAAAAGTTGTCCATTTGTCATTATATGCCAATTTAGCCAATGATGTCAAATAAATTTGCGTTTGGTATAAAAGTTGATACTCCCTCCGTCCCATAAAATAAGTCTCACTTTCCTTTTTGGGCCGACCCAAAAAATTGTTCTCATTTCGCTTTTTGGAAAGTTTTGTGTGGCTAACATTAATTTACCTTTTTCTTACTCAACCACAATAATACATTTCCACTTTATTCCCACTTTCTTAAACTCCGATCCAAATTGAAGTGGGACTTATTTTATGGGACAAATGTAGTTGTTGTTTTGCTCATTATTGAACAAACCCCTCTGGTCTTCTCCTGCTTAACCCCGGCCTAACCCTAAGGGTCTGTTTGGATTTAGAGGGTTATGCAGCGCAAGGCTTGGGAAGGCTACGTTCATATTTTACATAAAGTTTGAGAACTATAAGCATTGAAAGATTAACATTAGATGTAGACTAATTTTTCTAGTCTTTCATTCCGAAACCCTCCAATCCTCCATCCAATCAATCCTTAAGAAAACCGCAACTATGTGATAGGCCAAAATATGGCACCTAGAGCTTCAATGCTTGATACAACAATACTTTTGGTTTTGCTTTGAACTTTTTTCTATTAAGATTTAGAGGTCCATTCTAAAAGGTCAAACACATATAAGAGTCGTTTAAATCTTAATGTAGCACTTTATTACTCCATACTACAATGGTGGGGGACTTCAACATTTTCCAACTACACCTCTCTAATCTTCTATAGTCCCTATATATATCTTGTGACTTGTATTTAAGATTTTATAGAAGTTCAAAGTTTGACAAAATATGTGACCATATAATATTTTAGTCACCTTTTTATTCATTTACTCAAAAGATATAAAACTTCCCATTTGCCAAACCAGCGTAGGCATTGGTACTCAAGGGTAGAGAACATAATTCCTATTTCAGAACCTATCAAATGATTGAGTAGTGATATGCAACAATATTTTGACTCCCAACAACAGGGCATACGAACGATCAAACAAACGACCACTTGCAACTCTGCTGAGCTATCCATATACACATTCCAATCAACAAAAGAACTGGACTACTTGGGATGTTTTCTTTTGGACTGAAATTTGATTGGCTGGTCTGATCTGTTGGAGCTTGGTCTGATCTAGTTTAGTTTAAACTAGTCTGGTCTGGTAAATGTCTGATCACCGTGTATTTTTAACATTGGAAATCTAGTCTAGTCTGGTCTGTTTAAGTCTGTTTTGGTTTAATCTAGTCTATTAAAGGTTGGTCTTGTGTTATCTTGTCTGGGACCGAAAACAGTCCCAAGAAAACATCCTTAACTTCATTCCCGAACTGTTTGCTCCTAATTGAAGATTCACTGGCTCTCAAAAACCTGAGCTAAATATCAGTACCAGGGAAGAATACAACTCTATCACCCGTAACCTCATAACTTATTTTTTTTGCAAGAATAATTGGGACGGAGAGGCTATGATAAACTTTGTGTTTCATTATGCATTAGTCTAATCCTCACCTACCAGAGTCCACTTGCATAGATTTCATTACTGCCCCATTCAAGAAAAAAATGCAAACCACTCTTTGGTGGAGCCACAATGCTCTGAATTCTAATTTAGAAGAACTAGTAAAAGATTTTAAAGTGGAAATTCTCACGGATAAACAATATAAAAAAAATTGTCGATCCTAAAGTGTATAAAATATAGGGGAAAATAATTTAAATACCCCAAACTTTGAAGGGGTGTGAGATAAACACCCTGAACTTTCATATGTAATTTAAATACCCCAAACTTTATTTAAAAAGTTATTTTAACACCATGGTTATGTATGATTTCTTTCAAAAATGTAAATTTATGTTGTTAAATGCATAATTTAAAATAGCAAATTGAAAACATTAGAATTATATATAGTGGTGGGAAATACTATTTATTTTACCATGGAAGTTTAGAATGTTAATTATATCTTTATGAGTGCTAAAAATTATTAAATTATGAAATAAACACCAAAAATTAATATTTTTGAAAGAAATAATACATGACCATAGTGCTAAAATAACTTTTTATAAAAGTTTGGGGTATTTATATTATATATGCAAGTTTGAGGTGTTTATCTCACACCCCTTTAAAGTTTGGGGTATTTTAATTGTTTTCCACTAAAATATAAGGTCGAGTGATTGAAAATTTTCCTTAAAATATCACGAACTTCAATAGTTTTCATTAAAAAAAAGTTAAATATTATTTAATCTTATTAAACTAATAAACTTTGTGAGAAAATCATCAAAACTTAACAACCGGATTAGAAAAAAATTAAATAAAACAAAATATATTTGAGGTTCTTGATTAATCATTTTCAGTCATTCCAGCACTGTATTGACACTTATCCAAAGCGTCATTTTTTTACACATAAAATGCTTCTTAGGGTATGTTTGGTTTGGGGTTATCTCACATTGAGGTCAGAATGTGATGCCTGGAATGTTAGATACTCATGTTTGGTTCACGGTTTTGAGAAAAGATCGGGAAAGTAACATTCCTGAGAATGTAATATGGAGGGGAATGTTATACCCTTCTAGGTTATCTGACATTCCCGAGAATGATCTAATTTTCTTCCGAAAATACCCTCAATTAATGATCGCTTTTCATTTAATTTCTCTATGTATTCAACTTTTATCGAATTTGAATTTTTGTGATTTTATAAAACTTTTAATGTATTTTCTAAATGTGTAACTTTTATTTACAAAAAATAATCTTATTATTGACAGGGATCAGTTAATTTGAGGAGGGTTTCCTTAAATATTATTAAAATATAAGTTATGGACAAAAATATAACTACGGTTAATATGTATAGTCACTATGATGTAAAGCTGAACACTATCATGGTCAATAAAGTTACTAATATAGTCACTAAGTCATATTTGTGTCCATTACCTTCGTTTCACTTATATATTTGTCATTATTTCTTAATTTTATAATCAGTCGAATATCTAGATTGTGTGACAACCTTTTAAGTGGGACGAATGTAGTATGTTTATTTAATTATATTCGAATGTCTGTTCTTGTTATTTTCATAATTCTTTTTCCTTAACATTTAAATTTTTAAGGTATTTATTCTTATAGATTATTTAAGTTTTTATTGAGTGGATTTCAAAATTTAATGAAAAAATTGATCATTTTTTCTTTAATTTGAAAACAAGTTTTACGAATAACTTGAACATTTTTTAAATTTAATTTTTTTGAAGTGATAATAAATATATTTAGATTGCTATTTGAACATAGTTTTTTCATTTTTGTATTGGATCTACAACCTCTTACGATTAAACCTACTTAAAAATAATTCAATTAGATTTCATTTTATTTATTATTAAGATATTTCATTTTTTGTTTAATTTTTAATTACTTCAGACGTAGGTTGTAAAAGATTTATTGTGTTAAGAGAAAATATTTAAAGGGCATTAAGGTAATTCACCATATCTGTAATATAAGATATCTTTTAACCAAATAAATTAATGTCAAATTCCCTTGACCTTAACCAAACACAAATGAGAATAAAGTGAATACATTCTCATCAATCTAACATACACAGCAATCGGAGATTCTCATGTTAATCTGACATTATTGAACCAAACGCACCCTTATTGTCATACTTGGATTGAAAATAATAAAATGGACAGAATTTTTCGGGTCTCTGATCCCGCGTCCTACTACTACTTCCTAGGCTACCTGTAAAAATTCAAGAGCTTTAAGTGACATTATTATTTTATTGGGATAAGAAGATACCATAACCCTTTAGATTTTCTAGGTTACATCAACAGAGGGCCCTCACCCATTCTCAGTTTCGTAAAAGATTTTATTTTTTAAATTTAAAATCTACACTAAAATTTTATTTGAATATACTCCGTATCATTTTCTTGACCCATTACAAATTCGAATTTAGAGATGTCAAAGAATAAATCCACATTTTAGTTTTCTTTCAAAAAACTTAAACAAGAACTATACCGAGAAATGTTTAACCAAATGCATTATTGAATTATATATCAATTTTTAAAGAAGATATACCCCCTTGGCTATATATCAGGGAACCTATATACCTTCAACTCTTCAAGTAATTGCCTTATTTGTTCTAATTTTATAATTCTTGTAGCTAATTGGGGATTTTCTCAAATACAGTTCAAGATTATATTTATACTCTTCTGTCTAAAGTTAAATAACGATTTTCAGTATAAAAAGAAGAAGCTTTTTGCCTCTGCAAGATTTATGCAAACAAAGATAAGAAATCAAGATTCAAGAATAATTCAAATCTATAGAATCGCATTTCAAGAACTATGCATATTTACGGTTTCACACCACAACAAGAAAAGAGTGGAGAGATTCCATAATCCATGGAACAAAAATCAAGAATCAAGACAAAATATTTCTCACCTGGTCACCAGAAAAAACAGCCCAGGCTAGGGGCTTGTTGAAGAGAACACTTCCTCTGATGATACTCACTGTGCACCTCACAACCTGAACAAGTGAGTAGGCAGCTAATATCCCATTGGATACCACCAAAAACCTGCAATTGTTGGAAAATCATATGAACCCACAAACTCAATTCGACTTTTGGGTGGGGGGACCCTGAAATTGAACCCAAACAGGACTTAAGGGCTTACACTAGGGCTTTCATGTCTTTAAATGTAGCTTTCTTTCGAATGGTGAAGATCTCTTGGACCTGGGTGTCTGTAGCTATAAGAAGAGCACCAACCAGAGCTAAGGCACAGATGACACACCTCAAAACCAGCTCTGCAAGTCTCACTCTCTTATCAAACACCTTCAAGCTGCTGCCATGGTAGACTGGAACATTTCCAGGGCTCACTCCAACACCCAGGTAGCTCATGATGACCCCCAATACGCTCCCCAAAGCCAGCAAGAAATGGGATTTTTACTACTTGGGAACGGAACCAAAAGAACACGCGTGAATAGTGAGTGCATTTCATCACTCATTATATAGGGCAGGGCGCAACATTTACTTACCCGTTGCATTGTTACTGTTTCAGGTACAGTAATTTATTTCGCATTGAATTTTATTCATAGAGTTGTTTCACAATTTTGTCCTTTTATACAATTATATTAGAACATATTCAATGTAAAAACGTGAATGATGCATACGTGACACGAGAGATAACCAATCAAAAAATAACGAATAAAATATCTCTTTTTATTTGAACGGTCTTATATGTTTTTGGTAAATTTTTCTCTACAATGTCAAACACAATGTCTAGATGTAGACATTGTGGTTGACATTGTTGAGAAAAACTTACCAAAACACACAAAACCGTGGAAAGAAGGAGAGAGAAATGTCATAAATTTAATTTTTTGTGTCTATATCTCTCATGCCACATGTCCACCATGCACATTGTAGCATTGAAGAAGTTCTTAGAAGTTCATTTGGTATTCCTCTTCTTCCACTTAGTACACTTATCATCTAGTTTTTTCACTAAACACGTACCCGGTAATTTTTTATTTCACGCATCAAATTGTATAATAATAAGGAAAAAAAGTCAAAGTTACTTTTCTGATTATATTGGCTGAAGTTATTACACATGATCATTTTAGATATGTTTTCATGTAATTTTTTCTTAATTTTATTAATAAAAGACATTTTAAATATTTTTCATAAATCAGTAGAACCATCAATTTCATCCATTTCAATAAGAATTTCATAAATTTAAATAGAATCAGGCAATATAGTCGATTTGGGTATTACCAAGCGAGCCCTAAATTTATCAGGGGAGATTCACTTAAATCGCATCAAAATAATGTCATTTTCTTAAAATATTACCTAGTAATTTTAAATGCCATAAATAAAATATTACCTAGATCGATCTTCGTTATATCCTACTCCGTATTTATTTTTTGTTTATGTAAAGATTTTGCTTACATTTTTCTCCCTATTAATTCTTCGACGTTAGATGATAATGTGGTAATAATAAAACTATGATTACTTTTAAAGCCTCTTGTGTAATATTAAAATGGACTGAATCCATTAATTCTGTTGAAATTGATGAAACAATAGCAAAGGATTTTGAACAAGCTACATCTGCTAAATTAAGAAAAAATACATTCAAAATATATTTTCATAATAAAATGAAAAAATATACATGTAAAGTAGCTAAAATAGTCATCTACTATTTTAACTTCAATCAACTTTGTCATAAAAATAATTTTAATTTTACTCTTTCTGATTATTATACAACGCGTCACATATATTCAAAAATGACATATTTGAAGAAAAGATTAATAAATAACACGTCATTATTAATTGAAAAAAGAAATCATGAAAGGAGCTCATAACAAAGAACTTGAGGAAAAGTCTTATACGGAGTAGTACGTATGTGATTTAGGAAAGGCCAATCGACGTCACATGAGCATTTCAAATGGCTAACATCAAGTTATGTTGTGGTTGTACACCACATGAGGGCAAGGACTGGTGGAGTGCTATTAATGTAATACTACCTTGGTTATGGACGGTTGGAATTTATGCACGCCCATTTCATGCTCCTCTACAAAAAAGGATGACACCTCATCCCTGAGGGCCTCCTCAACCCTGATCGGATGGTACGTTGGGATGATGTAAATTGGACTATAATCCCAATCTAACAGATAGAGAGTGAGACTCTGTCCCCGCTTCTTGCAGAGGTCCTATGCATTTTTAGCATATTAACCCGTCATCGCAGTTGTCGCGATTTGAACCCGAAATCTAACACTTGTGACAATCTCTTGCTATCAGTTGAGCTAGTGTATTTCATGCTCCTCTACCTTACTATGCGTCCTACATCTTTTGCCAAATTCAGTAAACATTTGCATCACTGTGGTCTTTCTCATGATTACGTAAATAACACGTAAATCGTTTTGTCGCCCATGATTTGAGCCGCCCTAAAGGCTAATTCCGCCCATCCATAGAGAAGGTAGGGTCAATAATTACCTTTATCAAAGGTCAACAATATTTTAAACTCCAAAAAAAAGATATTACCTCCCTCCCACTCAATTTTGTCAAGGTGATGTTAGGTTGAAATTAGAATAGTAAAATTTATGTAGTTGAAATTTGTGTAGATGAGAGAGAAATGAACAGAGCCACAAAAGCATGCTTTAAAAAGAAAGTGACAAAGTTTTTTGGGACAAACAAAAAAAGGAAAGTTAGGAAATTCCAATAGGACGAAAGGAGTATTAAAAAGATATCCCTTGATAACTACTTTTATACCTATCCTATATGTGATTGACTTTTCCTTTCTCTGTGAATCTGAAAAAACTTCACAGACATGATGAATATAGCTTCTATACGGTGGTACAACAAGAATAATTATTTAAACTCAACATTTGATATTGCGTGGTATTGGTTGATGAAGATGAAGTATTGATGTCACATTTCTCCTTTGAATCGCCCCCATAGAGTAAACGAGCTGTTAGGGTTTTGATGATGACTTTCAAGTTTGAATTTGGTCAGCGGAATTTTTTGCTTTATATTTTTTCAAATTTAATTTTTCTTTCGTTAAACTCTGGGAAAAGGTGCAAACAAGCCATCGAACTAACCGGAAAAGTGCAAATCACCCATTTTATAGGAGGTTTTGTCTGGCCGTCGCCATTTGGGGCGGTTATCGGTGGAAATGTTTGATAAATTTTTTTAAGCTTCTTCTTCATTAAATCTAGTTTAGCCATACCAAATTTTAGGTAAAAATTCAACCGGGAAGATAGTCAAATGATTTTCTGAAATATACTACGATGTTTAACTGCCTTCAATTATTTGACTGCCTTCACGATTGTAATTTTAGCTGAAATTTGGTATGGGTAAACTAGACTTGATGAAGAAGACGATCAAAAAAATTCATCAAAAAATTCCAGCGAGAACCGCCTCAAATGATGACGGCCGAACAGAGACTCCTATAAAAGGGGTGATTTGCATTTTTTCGGTTAGTTCGATGACTTATTTGCCCCTTTTCCCTTAAACTTTTTACATTGTTTTGGGATTGTTTTGAAATAACTAGTTTCAAAAGTTTCATGGCAGTTTTGAAATATCTAGTTTAGTTATGGTCGGATGTATTGTGACTCATAAGGCCTTTAATTAATTATTTCAACTTTCTCCATGTTCAGGGAAAAGTTACACTCAATTTTTTGAGAATTTTTTTCTTCTTTACTTCATTCTTAATTTATAAATTCAACATACTTTTTAATCACATCTCCTACCAAAACTTAATGGAGGTAGTATGATTTGTAACATTTTATGACATAATTCCATCACAAAATAACGCTCATAAGCCAATAATGAAATTGCCCAAAATGAGACAAAAATATGGACTAAATTTCAAAATGAGACATCAAGTTTTTTATTCCCCAAACAGGATTCCAGATTATACTTTTCCCCTTCCCCTAATTAAACCCAATTTCCCCGCCTCTCTACTTCGATCCAGCGAATTGCTCCACTAGAATTTCACTTCTAGTGATAAATTGAAGCTAAGAATGATTAAGAACAAGAGGGTTCAATTCTTCCAGATTGGAGCCGCTGCAGTTGCTCCACCATGACTCCTCCTCCTGCTCTTTTTTGTCTTCTCCTTCAATTCCCATCCTCTTTGAATCTGGATGCTGTGTTTTCTTCTTCTTTAGATTTCAATTTTTTTTATTTATTAATTTTGATTAATTTGGAACATCAAAATGCCATTAATTACAAGCAATTAGAAAAACGTGACTTTTATGACATCACATTTATCAAGATGATAGTATGTCATGAAATTAACATTGTTTCTAAAAAAAATAGCACTTTAAATATGTCATTTGTTTCGAAAATGTCATGAAAATGACATTATTAGTCTTTCAAAAGAAAAAACATTGATATTACTAGTTAAGAAGTCATTAACAAAAAATATTATTAAACATTATCTCATATTAAAATTCATATAAAACGGATTTCATCTTTCCGTATTTGGCCTCCTACTAACGGCCACCTAGTCTCCTCTGCAAGATTCCTTCTACTCCAACTGCATTTTCTCAGTGTAATTCTATCATATTAATTCCTCATACTTCCTTCTAACCACTTAAATCGCTACCACAACCCTTACATTTCTTTAATTCAATCCAAATTACTACACTCTTATTAATTAATTCTTGTTCCTTACTTCTCTAACTTAACACGCTTACACGAACAATAGTTACTACCTACCACTTCTCTAGTTGCCGTTCATTACATCTCTTCCTCAATCGAGAAGTTCATGCACAATCCTTACTTCACTAATAAAACACTACCGGTGAATACTCTATATTTACTTGTAGTTCATTACTTCAAATACTTTACTTTGCGTAAATTAAATAGACACTACTTCCATACCCATGCCGTCCATGTGCTAACCCAGCAGCCTCTCGGCGCGCTCATGAGGAGCCCCACCAGCTCCTCTAGGATGGTGAAATGGGCGATCTTCCTCAGCCAATTTCAAATTGAGATCAAGCCAAGGCCGTCTATCAAAGGGCAAGCCTTGGCCGACTTCGCCACTGAATGCACAGCAAGGGAGACGGCCGTCGCCAACCCCGGGCCGGAGCCGGACGATACATGGATCCTACTCACTGACGGCTCATCGGCCGCGAAATCATGCGGTGGCGGCGTCGTCCTCATATCCCCTGAAGGATTCAGAGCTTACTATGCCATCCGCTTCAACTTCAGGGTATCCAACAACGAAGCCGAGTATGAGGCCCTCCTCAGCGGTCTCAGACTCGCCGCCGGCCTCAAGGCCAAGCACCTCAAAATCAAGTGCGACTCCAAACTGGTAGTGGGCCGGGTGGAGGGATCGTACGAAGCAAAGGAAGGCCGATTGAAGCAGTACAAACAAGCGGCGGAGGAGCTGCTGAAGGCGTTTGAAACCCACGAGATCACACAGATCCCAAGGGCCGAGAACGCTGAGGCCGACATCCTCTCCAAACTCAGCTCGGACACC